GCTTCCTACAAGTGGAAGAAGGGATTGACTGCTTTATCCTTATAATCACTCGATTATGTTAAGTTTAAGAACTTCCTTTATTAGTAAATGAGTAAGCCTTGACTATAAGGACTTGTGTTATTTTGGAGTTGATGAATTGGTAACAGAGGCCTAATATTTTGCAAGTTAATTTGGGACTGCATCATTTTATGATTAGTATCATTTTTCCATGGTGTAGCTCTGGGACTTCTAGAAGTTCAAATAATAAAAACCTTAAATGTGGAGAACCTTTGGTATCGTTTCCAATGAGTGCATGTTTATGGGCGTGCGTGTGAAATAACCTATCTTACTAAACTTAAATCTTTTTAATAAGTGTTCAAATGGAATCTTAATTGAACTTCGGTAAATCTTTTTAATAAGTGTTCAAATGGAATCTTAATTGAACTTCGGTTTGGTGTGAAAAGAACTCGATTTTTTTCTTGTACAAGTTTCATGCCCTCCTGGCTGGAGAGCATGTTTGTGCCCAAAAGTTACTTTTCTTTATTTTACTTTGTGAAGAAAGTAAGTTTTGTTAGTCTTTTAAAACTGTGTTTGGCAAAAATGAAGCATAAAAGTAACTTTACTTCTTTTTAAGCTTATTAGCCAAAGTTGCTCATTATCCCAGTTCCCGCTTTAAATTACATTTACTATGAAAATAAGAGCATGTTACTGTATACTCGTATGCAGCTTTATAACTGTGGATTCCTTATGATTTCCGGACTTTGTTAAACTTCATTGGATATGTTTTTTTTTTTTTTTTAATTATAGTTTTCTTTAGATGATGTTGTACATAATGCTCTATGGAAACTTTTATTGTTGTTGAAAGAAAAGAAAAAAACTGTATGCAGTGAAGAAGGTACCATTTTGATTAGACCGACTTTGGTGTAACAGATACGCCATTTCTTGCATGCAATGCGGAGGGGCACCCACTTACGAGCAGAGGTTTGCTTTAGAATTCTGTAATGATTAATGAATTTTTTATTACTAATATATTTGGAGTTACGACAAGTTGAAGTATGTTTGCAAATGCAAATTGACTTGCTCATACGGGCAAATACATGTTTTAAATTTGTGTTTGTTGAGGAGAAATGCACAGGCACTCACAATCGAGACAAACGTGAGTCATGTTTGGCTAAGTTTAAAAAAAGAAGTAGAAGTACGCTTCCAAATATGTTTGGACATGTTACGTTTCTTGTACTTTTAAATAACGTAAGTTATTAATCTTGGAAGTAACTTTGACCTTACTCTTAAAATAAGTAATTTGTTTTCAACTTTAACCAGCAAAAATACTTATATATTTTGAAACTTACTTATTTACTAAGTAAACATTTTAAGCATAGCCAAACGTGCTTTTAGTTTTTTTTATCATTACTACTACTTGTTTATATTTGGCGGAACTGATAATACAGATATGTCATACTTTCTTCTCAGGATTATATGCTATTTGACCCTTTGATAAATGGATTTGCTGAGATGCATGACAGGCATAGAGATATGAGGCTTGATGTTGACAATATGTCTTACGAGGTACTTTAGTCCATTTTGTGATTGAATTTTTCCTTCATGGTTTCTATCAGACGGGAGGACAACTTTAAGAAATTGTCATTCTTAAACATCATGGTTTGTGTTTCAGGAACTATTGTCTTTGGAAGAACGAATAGGGAATGTAAGCACGGGATTGAGTGAGGAAAAGATTTTGGGTTCTATGGAACAGCAGAAGTATGAACCATTTGGATCCTCGCCAAATTTGGAGCCGTGCTGTATATGTCAGGTAAACATCTCTAATGTTTTTCCGCAATTTTTTTTCATTGATTATATCACACGAATGCCTGGAACAAATTTGAAAAGCACTCTTTATGCCCACCTTTAAATTTCTTGTTTAAAAGGCCTTCTTAAGATTTTCACTGCCATGTTTGGTCGAGATGATTGGGCAGTGTCAGCAAAATCTTGTTTACCAAAACATACGCATAAAATCTGATGTACCGTTATCTGGAGGGCCTTCTTTTACAATATATCCTCTTCTTCACCGCTACCCCTATTTCCTGTTGTGTTCTTTTTTTTCTTTATTTGCCGTTTTGTGCTCGTTCCATATTCGTCTGTTTTTTTGGCTGATACGGAGATAATTTTAAGTTTTCGGTTTTCCTCAATTTGATCAGGAGGATTATATTGCTGGAGATGATATCGGGATATTGGATTGCAAGCACGAGTTCCACACCAAGTGCATTAAACAGTGGTTGATGCTGAAGAATCTGTGTCCCGTCTGTAAAATGACGGCCTTGGATACTTGAAACGAGACTACATTCTGCCATTCTAAGCTTTACATTTGGTCCTGCCAGTATTTTATTCCGCTATTTAAAACATTTTCATCCAGTAATGGTAGACAAACTGTGCACACATTTATACCATAAGGTGAAAGACTCTGATTTGCTCACATTTTTGTATCCGAAGAACCAAAAAAATAAATAATGATTCGTCAGACGTTCGACTAAATTTATGGCACCGAAGGACCTTTTGACAATTTCTGGTTATAATATTGTTATTGGAAAGATCTTTATTGGTACTAGTCAGAGTTGAACGTGCATTGAACGTTATTTTAAAATATTTTGTAAGTATTGTGAAAGTAATATTTGACGCTACCCCACCCTCTCCATTTACCCTTTTGATTTAAGGGTCCGTTTGATTGCAAAGTTGGAAAATGGATAGAAAGAAAATGTTTTACAGGGAATTGATTTTCTTAGAAAATGTTTTACTGGGAATTGTAATTAATTGTGTTTGATTTATATAATTTTCCATGGAAAATGTTGAAAATTTGGTGTCCATTTGACNGAAGGACCTTTTGACAATTTCTGGTTATAATATTGTTATTGGAAAGATCTTTATTGATACTAGTCAGAGTTGAACGTGCATTGAACGTTATTTTAAAATATTTTTTTAAGTATTGTGAAAGTAATATTTGACGCTACCCCACCCTCTCCATTTACCCTTTTGATTTAAATATAAGAGAAATGCAAGCTTCCGAAAATAAATGTTAATTATTATATATACATGTAAATAGTAAAATGCATACTTAAATGTTAGTATTTGAATTACAACTAAATGCATAAATAAAAATGAATTATAAATACAACACGGAATTAATGTGAATGTTAATTAATTTAGAATTAACACCAAGGAATGTATATATGACAATAAATATTAAATAATTTATATTAAATGAATATAA